AATCACAAATAATATGTCTGAACACAAGTTTGGAAAAATGTGTGATCACAAGCGACACTAAGATGCTAGCGGAACGAGTGCTAAACACAGGCTGATGTAGCAAGCGCACAATCCGGGACTTCCCCACTCGTCACTCGTTATGCGAAACTTCGCTCGTTAAGCGAGGTTCCACTGTACTCGTACTTGCTCTTCCAAAATTGCTAATAGCAAGCGATAATAGGGTGAATGATGATAGCGCAAAACGAAATCATAGTCAGACCAGTAACGGAGAGTAACTATCCATGTATCAGAGATGTTTCAGTTCTTTCAAACACGGTGATAACACATCTATCAATATTTCATAGCATCGCTGGGCTGCATTACACCCCAGGGTCATAAATTCTTTGTTAGCTTCCACATATTGCATGAATAGACCTTAATTAACGCACTCTGATATCTCTTTCCCCAGGATCATCCTATGTGAGCGGTGGGTACGGCCAGGGTACGGGTGCCGGTTTCAACTCCCTGCAGCCTGCGGGGTCCCCAGCGCCACCGCCGCCACCACCCCCTTCTCTCGGCCGAAATGAACCTTACTTCGACACCTTGACCCCACGAAATGTCACCGCACTGGTTGGCAAGTCTGCCTACCTCAGCTGTCGAGTCCGAAATCTTGGAAACAAAACGGTAAGTGAGGTTCTCACAGCTGTGACCTTGTTGTGAGACGTCGAGGTTCCCACATTTTCTAGACAGTCGTCTCATACATGGCGGTAAGGTTGTCTGCCTTACGCGCCGGCCGCCCTTTACCCCCAAGAACATTCCAAGAATATTCCTGGTACTCATTTCTGTTAGAGGCTGAGTCGATCCAAGGGCCATAGTGCGGCTGGAAGGAGTAGGTCAATTGAAAAAAAAAATTCCAATGACCGAATGACCTCATCGGGACTTGAACCGCGACCTTCCGACTTGTAACACAGTGTCTCAACCAACTACGCTACCGCGTGCCCCCAGATATAATGAATAATCCTTTGAATTCCATGTACTGCATATGTGTGCTTTATGCTGGTTTCTCACTTCAATTATTCTTCGAACTTGAAAATGGAAGTGACGTGTTTCTCCGAAAGGCCCGTTGATTCTCTACCGCCCAATCTCTATTATATCCCTGAAGACATTTTTGGAAAGTGAACGAACTTTCTGCAGCTTTAGACGTGTGTATATGCTCGCTTACACAGTTCGAGGCAGAAATTGCGGCGGGATGGTTCTTGGCTTCTGAAATCAGCGTTACATCAATCCATTAAATGTTCTGTGCCATAAGACGAAATATGAGTATTCATCTTGCTAGTGAAATGCCTGTTAAGTGACTGAAATTTCAGTAGCTTGGTTGTTCATTTGTTTCCGAAAAAAAGAAATTTCTGAAAACATATTTGTTTGTCGCTGGAAATCATGAAACAGGGAGAAGCCTAATTACAAAGTGAAATTCTATTCTATTCTATTCTATTCTATTTGAGTAAAAAAAAACTTTTTAAAGTCAAGATAGGCGATTTAATTACAAAAAAAAAGCATTTTGTTTAAATGAAATATCCCGGTACTGTACAACTGTTTATAATATGCTGCTCAGTAGATAACCGGTGTACATCGTAAATCACGAGCTCAATTGTGGTATAATCTAACAAATACGCCTAACTGGTCAAAAGTGTCTGCAACTTTTATTGTTTCCTTCGGTGCGGTGCGATTGTAGACGTCAGTTAGTGTAATAATTTCGCTCTAAATTTATAGACCGACAAATTTCCCGAAACGTCGTCGAATTATCTCAGTACAACACGATATTTGCTTACAAATGTAAACAGGATTAACAGAAAGTATTTCTACAGCTCCTTGATCAGATACCGTGCGTGTATAATATTCGTATTTACAGAGAAGAGAATGTTCTTCTGGGTAGTAATGCCTAGTTTGGAAAATCCCGACGTTTCGGAGGAACGTATCGCTTAGTCATCAGGGTCGAAGAGTAGCCAAGCAAGAACCGAGAAATCAGGGTTGTTTGTTGCTTTCTTGATTGCCTTACTCTTCGACCCTGAGAATGGATCGATATATTCCTCCGAAACCTCAGAATACAATGAGCATATAATCTGCAACACGGAGACAAGACGAGATGCTTGTTGGTTTATTGCTGGGCTCACTCTTCGACCCTGAATGAGGATGCGATACATTCCTCCGAAACGTCGATATGTTTCCGATCAACACGGCGTTACAACCCAGAGGAATGTACTTCTCATAATCACCTGTATTGAAACTTTCATATATTTCCAGATACTTTACCCTGAAAACGTAGGCAGTTATTCTGTGCGACATTATGGAAGAACAAATATAGCCATCACCAGATACTGATACCAGTTGGGGATATTTTGATACTTGCATATACTCGTGTATATATACGTTACGCGGCACGTGACAATAAATGGGGTTTGGATTGGAAATCGGATCCATTAGACTCTTAAAGCTGGCAACTAAATGTAACTACTGTGGTGTCGCTAATTCACACACACACTCTACGCTTCACTACAGCAATCATTGAGTTTCCTCAGTCTGCTGTTTCTCCACCGTTTCTCTGTTAACGGCTTCCAACGCCGTAAATTCCTCAGCTTCCGTATTCAGCGGCATCTGTCCTCGCTGGCTGGCGTTTATGTCACCTCTCAACTGGGTGTCGCCTAGTCACAGTCTTATAACGAGGGCTCTTCTTCACGCTATTGCGGCTCACGAACCGCATTGTCTTACCACTGTCTTAAGCTGCACTGCTCTCCGCTGACCTCCCTTCTGGGGTTGCCTTGAACTCCACTCTCGGCTGATGCACCATAGACAGGTCCTTTGTCAGTCCAGGCTCTGCGAAGCAGATCATGTCTCTCTTACTTATCTTATGCTACAACGGCAGCTTAGTCACTTGAACGGTCGTAAGCTTGACCGCCCCCAACTTTAAGCCTCTTATATTTTCTATGTCTGGTTTCGCCTTGTCCTATGCTGCAAACATGATCATTCTTATGATTTTGTATGACTTTTATTTGTTACCTGTGCAATCGTATACATACGGAACTTTGAATGCCGTGCGCAAATCGCGGAACTGTGTGTATCTTGGAAAGTTTCCAGTTGTGCGGAGAACATTGTTTCGCAGGCGATTCAATCTTAAGAAGTATGTGTCTGCCGCTAATACCCAGGCGGGGCAAGCATGAGTCATTAATGACCTCATCAATGCTTTATGGGGGGTTAGTTTAATGTTGACCGATCACACTGGCCGCGCGGTCTGAGACATGAACTGTCTTCGCTCTCTAAAACACTAGGATTGTGGGTTCGATTCCCACTTGAGGCATGGATGTCTGTGTGCGTATATTCTGTGTTTTTGCTGTCTGTGTGTAAGTAGCGGCTTTGCGACAGACTGATCCCCGTCCAAGGAATTCTGCCGCCCGTGTATAAAGTTCAAGAAACTTAAAAAGAGGTCAAGGTCCAACAAAGGGCTGTAGAGCCATATGTTGGCAGGTAGGTAGATAGGTAGGTGGGTAGGTATTTGGGCGTGCGTGTGGCTAGATGGGTAGGTAGGTAGGTGGGTAGATGGGTAGGTAGTTAGAGACAGACTGACGGATGGACAGATGGATAGATGGAAGGATAGATTATGTTGGCGCCGAAATTCTCACTTTTATTTAGGGAGCAGAATCTAATAAACGTTCTAAAGGCCTTGACTTCGATCATTTCTATGTGCAGTTTTCATGTAATCCTCTTATCGAAGATTACACCGAGATATTTTAATTCAGCTCAAAGTCAAAGTGAAAGTTACTTTACGACTTGCGGTTTTCCGTCAATCCGTTCTTCTTGGCGTCAGGCCCCTTGAGGCCCACGACCCGAGATTTTTTTCTAACTGAACTCTTGCGGTAATAGTCCTTATGTAACATCCTCTCTGACGAGGAGATGGGGTTGTCTCTTATGAATACACCTGGCCCTTCGCCAAATGTACGTTTCGCACATAATATGTTATTGAAAATTCTTCCTCTTGTACTACATACAAGTCCTGTGTCAGTACAGGCTTTACAGAGCAGATCATGCCTGCTTCAGTCAGCTGGTTTTCGATTCTCAATTATAATCTCTGCACGGACCCCCAGAGAACACCGCTTCCCACAATTCCTCTACTGTTGCTTTCATAAATGTTGCTATGCTGACGTTGCGTTTACTGTACCGCAACCTAGTAACGGACATCTCTTCTGGTTAAACTGTACCGGTTTTCAGAAGACACACTACAGTGTATATTTAATACTAGCATTTAAGATCTCAGATACAGATTACATCCACATGCCTACTAATATTTAAATAATATATTTTTGTTGAAGTACCAATGAACAACTCTCATTTCGAATTTCGTTTTACAGTAACTAAATTGTACAGTGGCCCGTGACAGTTGCACGCATTATGCATTGTACAGGCCAGTACAAGTATAATGAATGTGTTCATTGTGTAGGAATACAGATAGCAGTAGATGCGAAGTGATACAAATTTCAATGCATATTATTTTGTAATTATAATATTGTAGTTACTCATATGATAACTAATGCGTTAATGATACTGCATACATTATAATAATCACTAATTCTATAATACTGAAATTATTTTATAAATCAATAGACGTATTATAATATACTGAGAACTGAAGTTGGAACACGAAACACAAAAATGTGTTTACGTCCAATATGAAGCACACGTTGTTACGTAACATTGTGCTGTTTTACATTTATTCCGTCAATACAAATCTTTTCGCGTGGTTGTTTACGTACGCACTTTAATATGTACTGGTTGGATAGCAAATCGCTCTGTCGCAGCTCCATTCGCTAGATTATGTAATCTCTGATTTCCTCTATTAATTTATCTACTCCGTCATGGTAGCGTAGTGGTTAAGGCACTATGCTAAAGTCGGAAGGTCGCGGGTTCAAATACCGGTGAGGTCATTGGATTTTTTTCAGTTGACCTAATCCTTCCGCACTATGGCCCGGGGTTCACTCAGCCTCTAACAGAAATAAGTACCAGGAATTTAATAAATAATTTTCCTGGGGAGTAAAGCGCTGCCAGCGCGTAGGGCTGACAACCTTACCGCCATCTTTGAGCCGATTGTCTAGATAATGTGGGACCCTTAACNCAAACATGATCATTCTTATGATTTTGTATGACTTTTATTTGTTACCTGTGCAATCGTATACATACGGAACTTTGAATGCCGTGCGCAAATCGCGGAACTGTGTGTATCTTGGAAAGTTTCCAGTTGTGCGGAGAACATTGTTTCGCAGGCGATTCAATCTTAAGAAGTATGTGTCTGCCGCTAATACCCAGGCGGGGCAAGCATGAGTCATTAATGACCTCATCAATGCTTTATGGGGGGTTAGTTTAATGTTGACCGATCACACTGGCCGCGCGGTCTGAGACATGAACTGTCTTCGCTCTCTAAAACACTAGGATTGTGGGTTCGATTCCCACTTGAGGCATGGATGTCTGTGTGCGTATATTCTGTGTTTTTGCTGTCTGTGTGTAAGTAGCGGCTTTGCGACAGACTGATCCCCGTCCAAGGAATTCTGCCGCCCGTGTATAAAGTTCAAGAAACTTAAAAAGAGGTCAAGGTCCAACAAAGGGCTGTAGAGCCATATGTTGGCAGGTAGGTAGATAGG